GGTAGACAGCTTTCGAGAAATCTATGAAATTATTTACTGTACCGTGTTGTTCTGGTAGTGAGCTTATAAAATGCTAAAGACCACCAGAAAAATAATTTCAATTTATCAAGCAGACTGTTACAACAATAACACATCACATCAAGACCTACCAATTAATGATGGGAAATATGAATTGTTATACCACAGCTAGATAGAAAGATGTAATTTTATGCCTAGTTCAGTTCTCTGCACATTGTAACCTTTCTTAAAATGTAACATTTCTTAAAATGTAACCTTTATGGGAGCAAATGAGGCAGTGGAAAATGGTTAGAAAGTTCACCATAACCTTACAAACTCACATGTCCTCAACTGTAATGTCCTTGAGGATCTGGCAGTAGTCCACATTCCATACAGCCTGATCGTCCCAAACTTTGGAGGCAAGAAGAATGGCTCCCAAAACAATTCTTTTCCAGTTAGTGGGACAAATGTCGATCTCAGCATAAGTTAAAAGCCTTTCTAAGTAAACCTGCAAAAGTAGAGCACTGGTCTTTGATTTTAGTTCAGTTTAAGGGCTGTGATAAGAACTGTGTTAGGAGTGACAGAGTTCATCTGATTTTGACATGTCTTTATTCTTAGGTTCTACAGAGACTTTGCTCGGCAGCCAAGGCCAGAGGCCAGGTCACAGTTGTAAGTCAGGCATTTCTGTTGCCTACTCTGCCCACATGAATTTCCAGCCCAATTCTGGTCACAAGAATGAAAGGACATCTCAGCAAAGGGCATCCTAAAGACAGGTATTGTGTTACCACTTTCCCACTTGTAAAGGGCAGCATATACAGACTCGGCATAGATTCCAGCTGTTCAATAAACGCTTGAGTGCCTGCCATGGGCAATGTACCTACCGTACTTGGTGGTTGTTACCTGGTGATTTTACATTATGCTTGAGCATGTAAAACTCTGGGAAAACTGAGCACATCTTTATTTTCTCTTCACAGTAACTAGTCCTTTTGTGGCTGTAACTTAGAGATTAAAAACTGGTGGTCAAGAGAGCCTCCCAGTGGCTGCTGTGTGGCATAGCAGGACAGGCAGTACAAAGGGGCTTTACAACTGTCCAGAAATCCTGTATTTAGTGTCTTTTTAAGGAATACATGCCCACAAAGGATAGTCTGTCATATTCCCTATTTTTCACATTCCATTATCATTACATAATTCATTTCTGTCTTAATAATGTGCAGCTTAGTCAATTCCGTTGGTTTTAAGGTGGTTAACAGAGCTGCTGGTCTCTGTATCCCTGGGGCTCTTCTAAACCTGCCCAGCAGTTTGTGTGACAATTTCATGACTTCTTTCACATGTATCAAATGTCTAGTCCACAAAGAACTGGGTGAAGTTAACAGCTGAGTAGAGATTATAGAAGTAAGCTGTGATTTGCTGTTACCTTGTGATTTGCTGTTATCTCAAAGAGTGCTCTGCAGAAGAGTATATAAGCCATTTGACAAAAAAAAAGCCAATTTAAAGAGTATGTTTATTATCTGAAGGTTATCAGATTGACAGCTCAGATTTTGCCAATTTTCTCCAAACTCAACTGTGTTTTCAAACATGGATATTGAGATTGTATGTTCTTAGTGAAATTCTGCTCCCACTCCCCAGAACTCAGCACTCTCCAATACCCTAAGAATGAACCTCCCTGCAACTCTCTACTTTATGGGAATAATTAGAGGCACTTAGACAACATTGGCATTCTCTGAATTTCCTCTCTCTTTTACTGGCAAACTTGGTATCTGCCAATACTCATTTACACCACTTGCCCTCCTGTATCAGTGGAGTGGAGATTCCTTTCTTTTCACTGAAACTAACTCTTCTGTGAATGAAGTCGATCCCATCTCACTTCTGCAGAACATCATGCTTGTAATTAATCTCTTTTTGAACAACTTCTCCCCTCCATCAGAGATTTTCTCCAATGTGAATGTTTATGTGTTCCCAGCCTGGCCCTCACGACCCCAGAATACCTCCTCAGTAAATGCCCTGATGCTGGTGCCTCATCCCCCATTCTCTCCCTAACCTACTGTGGTCAGCCCCTGCTGCAACCCCTCTACCGGAACTAACAAACCAGAGCTCTTCATCCCAACGCTCCAACCCCTCAGCCTCCCTAATAACAGAAAGGGCACTGCCACATGCTGAGTTGCTGGGACCAAAAACCTCCACTTGAGTTATCCTGCTCCAGTCTGTTAGCAATTCTTGTTATCTCTACCTTCACTGGTAGCCTGACTGCTTTCTCGTCGTCACTTTTGACTTGTATCACTGTCATCGTCCCCTAACTTCTCTGCCTCCACTGACTCCCAACTAGTCTGTTCTCCCCAAAGCAGCCAGGAGAGCCTCTTAAGAGCACTTCACTGATCTGCTCAAGATCTGCCACAGGTCTCCTATCAAACAAGGAACTTCCTCCCATGGCCTGCAAGTTACAGGGCCCTGTGAGGTAGCACTGCCCTTCTGTGACCTCATCTTCTAAGTTCTTTCCCTCATTCCCCACTCTGACCACACTGGCCACCTTGCTGACCTTGCTGTTCCCTGAAGTTCCTGTCTTGAAGACTTGCGCTGGTCCCTCTGCCTGTAATGCTGGCGCTCCTTATCTTCCTCAGTCCAGCCAGGCCACGGGTTTAAACATTACCCCTTTAAACAGGCTCTTCCTGATCGTTCTATCTAGTAAGCCCTTCTAATCACTATCCCTTTACCCTGCTTTCTCTTCTTGGATTTTACCACTATTTGAAATACTCATCTTTTTAAAAACACTCATTAAAAGCAATACTCATGTCTTCCACACCTGTTCCATAAAGGCAAGAACTTCGTTCAACCTGTTCTCGCCTCACCCCTGCACTTAAAATAGTGACACAGAAAAGGTTTTCAGTGGGTATTTAGGACACGAGCAACTTCTTGGCAGCATGTAGCATTTGGACCACTCTCTCCTTCTCGAACCTCTTTTACGGTTCTCCCCTGGTTTTCCTACCATTCTAGCCACTCCTCTGGGGACTTGTCCCGTAAGCGCTGATAATCCTTACTGATCTATCTCCTATCCACTTTTTATTCTATATACTTTCCCTGCGTTTGAACAGCTACTCTTAATTCTCTACCCTTGGCTGAGGTTCCTGGTCCAATGCATATATTCAAATGATTACCAGACACTGCCACTTTGCTGCCTCACAGGTACGTCAAGCTGAACTTGTCCACAAAAGACTGCCCCTCTTCCAACCCAGATGCCCTCCTTCCTGCCTTTCCCAGCTCTCCATGTGCAAGTGCCACTCCTGCCTCTCGCCAGCATGTGATAAGCACTCCAAATGGCTTGCAGCTCCCAGAAAAGGCCTGTGTCTGATCCAGTGCCCACTGAAGGGTCTCTATTCAAAAGCACAAGCCTCCTCTCCTAAGTTCTGCCTGGATACTAGAGGAGTAGGCAGTGGCCTAAGTATTCCTTCCTTCCAGACCACGCAGCTGATTTTCCCCTATAGGTCTGCTGTAGGGAGGAGTTAAGCCACCTCAACTATCTCTCACTAGAAAATGATTTATTATTCAGACGATAAAATCTGACCATAGGAATTCTGTATGGATGACACAGAGGTCCTTACACAGCTCTAGCTTAGCAGGCTAAGCAGAGCAAAGCCTCTTCCAAGCACTACTGGCACTATGTTCCCAGGCAGCCTCACAGGCAGGCGCATGAGAACAGCGGGGATGGATTAACACCGTCATCCGAGGGACAGAGAGTCTGCGGGCGAGTTCTCAACTGGGACACACGTCGGAACTGCCTGCGCAAGGCAGCCTGGGGCTCAGCCCAGCACTACACACCTGCCTCTGCCTGTGGACCAGACAGTCCTGTCATCGCCCTGTCCTACCACCCCCAGCACACCTTGTCTGTGTGTGTGCGCCTGCACCATGTGCACATGTGTGTCCTGAGGTGTGGCGGGAGAAACC